CATGTTAATGGTCTAATCAGTTTGAACAGGCAAAAAACTATCAGAAAATTTTCTAGATTGATGGTTTTAATGGATTTTTTCAGTACAAAATAGTTATGGTGTAGAGATGACCCTTAGTTGGGGCAAAGTGGAGAAAGAAGACACATGTTAGTTTGGTGTCCTACATTCTTCCAAGATCAATGGTAGATGTTTTTGACAAGAAATTAGAGGGAAACGATGGATAAAGGGTCACAATAACATTGACACAAGAGTCCGATAAGCTTTTCTTTTTGGTTGCATGGTTTCCATTCAGCTCAAATTCCTCATCATTCTAGCTTTAGACGAACAAACTTTTTGTTGTTGTTGTTGTTGTTGTTGTTGTTGTTTTTGCTTTTGTTGCTGTTGAGAAGAAGGATGGGACCTCAAGCGATGAAGCCCCAGCTGTTACCATTACTTAATCCCAACAATCCATATCGTCAAACCCTTCAACATATTGGGACGAAGGCTTTGACTTTTGAAATTGCTGGGATTCAAAATTTCACATTTAATTAGCAAAGGAAAAGGACAAGAAAGAAAAGATCTTATTTCTCTTAGATTCTCCATCGAACACAACATAAGATCTCTGAAGACAGGAGTCACAGGACCATTGTCTTCTTCATCATATATTATAGTAAAATAATATAATTTATTTCAATTATCTATACTTTATAATTATCTGAAGCACATAAAGTTTATGCAGAACATAAAAATTCCGTAATAAGAGAATAACCTGGTCCTACGCTAATAACAGAACTATCATCAGTGAGGTTTGATCATAGGCAAAACGGGGGTATGAGTAATAGGTGTTGGTGGCACTGCGCGTGTGTGTGTGTGTGTGTGTGTGAGAGCAGAAGCACATAAAGTTTATGCAGAACATAAAAATTCCGTAATAAGAGAATAACCTGGTCCTACGCTAATAACAGAACTATCATCAGTGAGGTTTGATCATAGGCAAAACGGGGGTATGAGTAATAGGTGTTGGTGGCACTGCGCGTGTGTGTGTGTGTGTGTGTGTGAGAGCATAATAACAGAACTATCATCAGTGAGGTTTGATCATAGGCAAAACGGGGGTATGAGTAATAGGTGTTGGTGGCACTGCGCGTGTGTGTGTGTGTGTGTGTGTGAGAGCA